TCAAATATAGTCGTCCCATTTCCAAGGTCGGCAACCTGTCATCTGACTATTGTGCCCTCATTATACTTTTGCAGTGCAGCAAGGAAATTCGACAAAATAGAATATGATTCATCCCAATCACCAAATAGCATTGCCAGCGTAGTTTGTTTGGCTTTCCATGCTTTCTGATATAATATATCGTACTCATACACAGTGAAAATGTGTTTTATTAGCAAAACAACCTTCAGAGATGGATCTGCCCGAACGAGCTCTTGTACTTGGCGTGCAACAAATTGAGAATCTAATTACACATGGTCCTCAGTGCTTGACACATGCACACAAGTGTGTGGGCCTTCATATTTGATAATTTGAAAAAGCTCGTGTGTTTTCTTTTGAATAGCTCGCAACCTCCACTTACACCCCGATTGATATTTTTTACATCGCAGAGCCAATAACTTTTTTTCACTCTCAACAACCTCAAATTGGACGTGATTGTTGATTGAATATATCTTCACTACATCTTATAATTCCGATTTACCCTTAAAGATTAGGTCGATGGATAACTCGGGCCGATTCGGGTCCCACAATGGAGTTCTTGTTTGATTGTTGGGGGCAGACACTTGGGGAAGTTCTTCATTGGTGAAGAAGGTTGACGTTGGCTCATGCATACGAACAGTGTCTTCCAGTATAACTGATGGGCCACGTTCGTCAGCTTCATCATTAAGGTTTGTCACATCGTCCATCAATGAAATCTCCTCGTCCTCATCGTCAGTGTCGTCTGCACGATCAACCGCACGCATTCTATTGGTTTCCAACAAATGAGCGTCTGACTGAACCAAATTTTGAATGACTTCAGTCCTTGATTGAGNTAGTATAACTGATGGGCCACGTTCGTCAGCGTCATCATTAAGGTTTCTCACATCGTCCATCAATGAAATCTCCTCGTCCTCATCGTCAGTGTCGTCTGCACGATCAACCGCACGCATTCTATTGGTTGCCAACAAATGAGCGTCTGACTGAACCAAATTTTGAATGACTTCAGTCCTTGATTGAGCATGACATTGGATACCAACAGTGGAAGAACATGTGGTGCATCCCAAATACATCAACGTATGAGTATTGGGCCCTATATGCAATTCTAGCACATAAGACTCAGCCTGCAAAATTCCTTTGCCCGAATTAAACTCTTTGTAAAGGTATCATCCGCCATATATTCATGCCCATGTTGACTGGGACATAGATTGATGCTCTCCTGCGTAAGTAATTCTATATATGGGGCATACTGATTCATCATTGCCTGAGGAAACTGTTGGATTGACTCTACCTAAATGTACAGGTCAATACTATTCAATGCACGATTTTCAACAACAGCATCTACCATCGCCGCGACACCCGCATCATTTTTTATTTCAAATTCAATGTAATGCTACATGCAATCCCCCAAAAATGTTGAAAACCGACAAATTAGTTGTAGTTGTGATGATGAACTGTCCAACCGCATTATCATATACAACATGGTGGACAATTCATCATATATTGTTCCGGGTTTTAACTTCATACAATGTTGAGCCTTTCCGTTGTACGATAAACAACCTTCGTTGTAAATAATATTACCTCCCCAATAGCACATTACTGTGGCGCGTCTCCTCGACATTTTATACCTTCAATATACAANTATTGTGCTCAGGTTGACCACATAATTGATACATACTACGACCCTGTTGTAAGTCCATTTCATTTCGGATGCGAGTAGATTGGGGACGACCCTGCGTCCGTAGTAGGTTCGGATTAGGACAGATTATTGGACCACTTACCGCATCCCAATAGTCAGTATGATGTAGTGGATGAAATTCACTCGACCAAACGGCATCATGGGCAGCAGCAGTGTATATCTCATCTACGTACTGCCATGGGTCTAAATGCCTCTTTGTAAAAAGCGTCATTGCATGAGAGCATGACATTTTATAGGTGTTCCACTTTCTACATGAACATGTGTGATCAAAAATGTTTAGTACCTGTGCATTCCCTTTTTTGGTGACAACATATGCCTCTCCGGTGGTACGGCTGAATGTGGTAATATTTTGACTGGTTTTTTTGATAGAAACATACGTCATCTTCTCCACAGTATTAGGTGTGAAAGCGCACCCGCTATCTGACGTTGAACCACACCTATCATTGAAATACTGAACAACCTTGTAAAATATTGTTTCAACGCATGCCGTGATCTGTAAATGTCTTGCTTTTTTAAGACAAAGTTGAACACCTCAGAAATATTGGTTGTCATGACTCCATAACGTCTTCTGCCGTCATATGCAAGTGCCCACTGCTCTTTTGGTATTTGATTAAGCCAACGACGGGCACCTGGGTTGATTGGGTGGATTTTTGCCATAATCTTGTCATACTTGCAAATTTGATGTGCAGAACCAGCATCCCATACTAGACGTTTAAGATGAGAGATATGAAACTTACTGTTGAAGTTACTCTGGATATGTCGTAAGCTATAGCGATGGTATGCATATGGTGCTTCCCATCCAGAACCATGAGCAACAACTGATTGAATTATACCTATATATCGATCAAATAATAGGCATATGCCTAGACGGTCACCGACTACATCTTGTCTAAGTCTCCAAAGAAACCAACCCCATGGATCTATGCTTTCCTCGTCAACGATTGCAAAGGCAAGAGGAAAAATTTGATGATTTCCATCGAGGCCCGTAGCAATTAACAACTTCCCCTTGTACTTCCCGTACAGGAATGTGGCATCGATACTTATAAGTGGACGAAAGTGTCGAAAACCATCAATACACGGTTTAAATGACCAAAACACTCTGTCAAATATAGTCGTCCCATTTCCAAGGTCGGCAACCTGTCATCTGACTATTGTGCCCTCATTATACTTTTGCAGTGCAGCAAGGAAATTCGACAAAATAGAATATGATTCATCCCAATCACCAAATAGCATTGCCAGCGTAGTTTGTTTGGCTTTCCATGCTTTCTGATATAATATATCGTACTCATACACAGTGAAAATGTGTTTTATTAGCAAAACAACCTTCAGAGATGGATCTGCCCGAACGAGCTCTTGTACTTGGCGTGCAACAAATTGAGAATCTAATTACACATGGTCCTCAGTGCTTGACACATGCACACAAGTGTGTGGGCCTTCATATTTGATAATTTGAAAAAGCTCGTGTGTTTTCTTTTGAATAGCTCGCAACCTCCACTTACACCCCGATTGATATTTTTTACATCGCAGAGCCAATAACTTTTTTTCACTCTCAACAACCTCAAATTGGACGTGATTGTTGATTGAATATATCTTCACTACATCTTATAATTCCGATTTACCCTTAAAGATTAGGTCGATGGATAACTCGGGCCGATTCGGGTCCCACAATGGAGTTCTTGTTTGATTGTTGGGGGCAGACACTTGGGGAAGTTCTTCATTGGTGAAGAAGGTTGACGTTGGCTCATGCATACGAACAGTGTCTTCCAGTATAACTGATGGGCCACGTTCGTCAGCTTCATCATTAAGGTTTGTCACATCGTCCATCAATGAAATCTCCTCGTCCTCATCGTCAGTGTCGTCTGCACGATCAACCGCACGCATTCTATTGGTTTCCAACAAATGAGCGTCTGACTGAACCAAATTTTGAATGACTTCAGTCCTTGATTGAGCATGACATTGGATACCAACAGTGGAAGAACATGTGGTGCATCCCAAATACATCAACGTATGAGTATTGGGCCCTATATGCAATTCTAGCACATAAGACTCAGCCTGCAAAATTCCTTTGCCCGAATTAAACTCTTTGTAAAGGTATCATCCGCCATATATTCATGCCCATGTTGACTGGGACATAGATTGATGCTCTCCTGCGTAAGTAATTCTATATATGGGGCATACTGATTCATCATTGCCTGAGGAAACTGTTGGATTGACTCTACCTAAATGTACAGGTCAATACTATTCAATGCACGATTTTCAACAACAGCATCTACCATCGCCGCGACACCCGCATCATTTTTTATTTCAAATTCAATGTAATGCTACATGCAATCCCCCAAAAATGTTGAAAACCGACAAATTAGTTGTAGTTGTGATGATGAACTGTCCAACCGCATTATCATATACAACATGGTGGACAATTCATCATATATTGTTCCGGGTTTTAACTTCATACAATGTTGAGCCTTTCCGTTGTACGATAAACAACCTTCGTTGTAAATAATATTACCTCCCCAATAGCACATTACTGTGGCGCGTCTCCTCGACATTTTATACCTTCAATATACAATATAATATCAAATAATTTTCATATTAAAATGTGGTGTCATAGATAGCATGACATATTATACTTTTAAACATATAAGCAGATAACATTTAGGATTCAGGCAAAATGAAATTCTTTTGATCCTTTAAATTCAAGAAAAGTAGAATCCTCTTAAACCTTAAGCTAGAAACATAGCTCTTAAGTTAACATTAAGCATGAATTTCACCGGATTAGATGAAATTACACGAAGGATAGGGTCAAGGGGGCCACATATCTTTTGTTTGGATATGTAAACTTGGGAAGGATCAAAGATTATATTTTTCACATTAAAAAAATAGTAAGAAGGTAAATAGAATCATCGGAGAGAGTTTTTCAGTTTATGGTCTGTTGTATGTAGCATTATGTAATTGTCTCTGTTGTCTGATTGTTACCTGGTTTCCAAGTAGCATGTAAACTCTATGAGGATGATCACAACACTACAACCTTATATTCTTTGCTGCAAACTCGTTCACCAAAAGTGTCAAAAAAGGCACTCGGCATATTATTAGGGCAGATTGGGCTCCTCTATTTCTCTTTCTCCTAAAGTTTCATTTTGATGTCCTTCGTTGTATCTTTCTTTTGGATTTGATTTTTTTATTTGCTAGATATAACAGCTTTTTGTGTTCGTATTCTTGCTTAAACTTTGTTTAGGAGCTTCTACCATAAAAAGAAATGAATTCTTTGAACCCAAGATTTCGTCGAAGAATGCGAATGGATATTATAGGCATCCTCCTAGAAGTGGTGTATGTGATGAAAGATAGTTGTTTACAGAAATCGCAAATTCTGTTAACAAAAGGAAGGGAATTAAGAGCTTGTGGAATCAAAGGTCTGTATGAGTGCATTCAGTGTCTATCAGCAGCCATCTCTACATTGGTGAGCCATCTCTAAATCTAGTGGTCGAGTCCAGATCATTGCCATAAAGCTGAACACTACAACATGATTCCTGAAAACACCTTGATTTTGTTGTATAATGTTGTTGATTTGTTATTAGTTAAGGTAAGTTTTATGATTTTTGTTATGACTATATGTTTGTGTGGTGATATCTTAGGCGTAGTACTGGTTTTACTTCCTAATACTTTCTCTGCTTTGTTACTCCAGGGGCTCATGAACTTTCACCCTGATGTATTTGAGATATTGATCAGAATGTTTAAATGGAAGGGTGTTCCATTGGAGAAATGTTTGGCTATGCTGTGGGAATACAGAAGGCTTGGCCATGCTCTTTGTGCTTCCTCTATAAATGAGTCATTTATCACAACTTTGTCACGGCATTGTGATGAACTTTCACAGTCCATTGATTTTTGGATAAGTTGTATTAAAGGATCAGAGGCACAAGGAGTGGGGTTTCAGCAGAACTTCAGTTTGATGTTCCAATCAGATATCAAAGTTGAAGAAGTCAAGAAGGCTGCTTCTGAACTTCTTTCTAGTGTGAGATCCTTTGGCTAGCAATAAAGACTAATTTCCCCTCAAAATTTAGGTTGCAGCAGGTCTCTTACGACCGATGTTTTTTCTTTAATGTTAGGTCTCTTTACCCAGTGGTTCAACATTTATTGCTGTGTATCTATACCAGGACTTGTTTGAGAAATTGGTTTCAAGTGGAAGTCTAATTGAGGTAGTTTGACAATGATTTGCTTCCTCATTTTCTTCTGACCATGATCATGTCTTTAGTAAATTTTATTTTGAGGAGATATTTATGATTGAGATTAAGATGATTTTTCTATCATGAGGCAGTCAATATTGGAAGCATGGATAGGGCAAGGGGTTGGATCTTCAGTTTAAGTTTTCAGCTCAGAAAATTAGACTCAATGAGCTGTAAGTCATATCAATAATGAGGAAAACGGCTTTTTGGGAGTTTTTTGACTTTGAGTGTTTGAAAACATCACACCCCCAACCCCTCCCCCCCCCCAAAAAAAAAAAAAAAATTTAATAATAATAATAAAGTCCCTAACAAATATTATTGAAAATAGAAGAGTCTTTTGATTTATTTGTTCAGTGTAGAAGATCTTTTCTGGAAACAATAAGTAAATGTGATTTATGAGTTTTTATTATGTACTTCTTTTGTTTGCAATTTTCTTTCGTGTGGTTGGGCTTCTTATGCAACCTTTTTCATGTACTTTGTGATTTAAAAAAACCTTAAATGACTTGTTTATTTACAGCTCCTCTTTTGATAGGAATCCCTTCATTATAAATACCAATAATCTATAAGGACTCAAGTACACATCACATANATAAATGAGTCATTTATCACAACTTTGTCACGGCATTGTGATGAACTTTCACAGTCCATTGATTTTTGGATAAGTTGTATTAAAGGATCAGAGGCACAAGGAGTGGGGTTTCAGCAGAACTTCAGTTTGATGTTCCAATCAGATATCAAAGTTGAAGAAGTCAAGAAGGCTGCTTCTGAACTTCTTTCTAGTGTGAGATCCTTTGGCTAGCAATAAAGACTAATTTCCCCTCAAAATTTAGGTTGCAGCAGGTCTCTTACGACCGATGTTTTTCCTTTAATGTTAGGTCTCTTTACCCAGTGGTTCAACATTTATTGCTGTGTATCTATACCAGGACTTGTTTGAGAAATTGGTTTCAAGTGGAAGTCTAATTGAGGTAGTTTGACAATGATTTGCTTCCTCATTTTCTTCTGACCATGATCATGTCTTTAGTAAATTTTATTTTGAGGAGATATTTATGATTGAGATTAAGANGTCTCTCTCTCTCTCTCTCCTATTTTCTCTAAACATTTCTCTCTCTCCCATTTTTTCTCTCTATTTAATCAACATTACAACAATACAATTACACTAATCAGTCACGTCAATCAGTTACAATTGTCCTATAATACACCAAATAGTTACTCATGTGTTCTACTAAACCAAACAGATACACAAAATAATGATATCAACTCAATTTGTTACTCAGTTGTTTATATAAACTAAATAGTTGTATCATTTAGTATCGTGAAACCGTTATACCAATTATATATATACCAAATTTAGTGTAATGGTAAAGTTTTTTGTGTAATGATAAACTCATTTTTGTGTATATAATTGGTATAACCATGTCGTAATACTAAATGGTGTAACTCTTTGATTTATGTAAATAATTGAATGACAAATTGGGTTGATATTGTAATTTCGTATAATTTTTTAGTGCAACTGCTTGGTTTATTGGAATACATTAGTAATTATTTGATGTATTGTAGGGTATTGTAATTAATTAGTGTAACTGATTAATGTAATTGTGTTGTTGTAACGTTGATATAAGGAGAGAGAATAAGAAAATAAGGGGAGAAGGAAGGAGTGATAGAAAAAAATAGGGGAGTGAGAGATGAAAAAATTAAATCAAATCTTTATATATTTAAAAAAAATTATAAACATGAGAGAAAGAGAGAGAGAAAGATATATAGAGAGAAAGTAGGGATGAGAGAGTAATGGAGAGAGAGGAGAGAGAGAGAGAGAGTAATAGAGTAATAAATGACATTTTAGTCTTTTTTTTAAAAAAATATACACTAAGAGCCAAATAAGTTTCCTTAATGTAGTTTAACTCAAATAAGTCTAAATTTTTGTATCGATGTTCAACTCCGAGTTAGGCCCAGCCCACAAGTCACCTGTTTTTTTTTTCTAAATTTTTTGGTTGTGGATACAATNTAGACCAGGACTAAATGAGTAAAGCATGATATTTGAATTCAAACCCTCAATCTCACTACAAAAATAAAACAAATAAAAAAAATCCTCAACATTCCTTAATACAATATCCATGATCAAGCCCTTCCATAATACAATATCCATAATACAATATTCCAACTAATGAAAAAAAAAACATAATTTTATCCAGAAATAAGCATTCAGTATATATTGCATTGCATGGATGCAGTTCAAATTAAAATTCTGAATAAAATTCAGTCCACAAAATACCTTCACACAGTAAATTGCAGAAGGATGCACACTTGGGGATTTCTGATGCAGTAACAAAGCAGTTAAACTTAGGGATTTCTGATGCAGTAAAGATGTCTGAATTCAATAGTGATGGGGATTGGACAATGGTATAATGTTTTTGAGTAACACTTGGTGAGAATGTTTGAGTAAAACTTGGGGATTTCTGAATTCAATAGTGATAGGGATTGGGCAATGGGGATATGTTTCTAAACTACGTAATTCACTGAATTACAGAGTAAATTGAAGTATACCTGGTTATATAGAAAGTCTCATGTTCAACACGTGAAGCCTGTCTTCTCCTTGCTACAAACCCAAGCCACGGGTTTACACCACTCCACTACAAGATTTGAAAAAAAGACTGAGTAAACTAGGCCTATTAAGAATCTCATCACAGCAATTAGGGCTCAATAACAAGTGTGGAGAATCTCACGCTTCGAATCTTGCAGAACCTCAGTTGTCTTCTTCGTAGAACCTTAGGGCTACGGTCAATTAGGGTTTATAGCTGAGCTTAGGGGAGGCGAAGCACACATAAGAGAAAATGGGGGGCCCTAGTGGGAGAAGAAATGGAGATGGAATCGATGCACAGAGAAGAGAAGATAGCTAAACAGCTCTGCGTTCAAATGCCAGAGAGAAGAGAGGAGAGAGAGGGAAAATTGTGAAACAAAATAACATAAATAGGGCAGGATATACAAATAAAGCGTGTTTATGGAATACGCTTCATTTGATAAAGCGAATTCATGGAATCCACTTTCTATGTGAAAATCCATTTGATTATTCACCTAATAGGCGGAATCAACGATTACGCTTTTAACTTGAAGGCGGACTCGTTAATTCCGTTTTTAAAATAAGTCGGATGTAGTAAATCCGTTTTCACATGAAGTCGGATTTGTTGATTCTACCTTTAAAAACAGCCGTAGATTGATAAATAAGTTCAAAACAACTGTATTTTGGTAATATTGTTTAAAAATCACTGTATTTTGGTAATAAATTCAAGAACAAATAAAGAAGAAATAGTGCAAGAGTAACGAAGAGTGAGAATAATGGAATAATCCCATTGGACGAGCATTGGCCGTTGACTAGCGGCTCAGGCTGGATATTCCTTGTGGCACAAATATAAATCTTTTATATATCATTTACCTCCCTCGCACAATAGTCAAACTCACCCTCAGAACGTCCAAATCGGCGGATCACAATGAATGATGGCCTGACACAGATACAAAAGCAAATGATCATATAAATATGTACGTTTTTATATTTATTTTTAGCGACAATGCTACGCTGATTAAAAAATAAGTTCGTGTGACAAGATTAATTTGTAAACTCACCTTTTACTTTATAATAATTTCGATGCTATGTCACCAAAAAAAAAATCAAAGGGTATTGCAGTGCTATCATATAGGACTTCTCTACATATGTGGAGCTTGAACCATGGCCTCGTTATGCTTCATCACATAGCTTCTCTCTCTCTCTCTCATTGTAAGTCTTAGCACTGTTTATCAGCAAGCCCCTCTGCTCCAAAAAGGGCCTTTAGAAATGGGTAGTGGAGAACAATACTACCCACCAAGAAAGTATCCACATCAACACACACAGACCAAGTTCAAGCTCAAAATGCTAGCTCTTGTCATACTAACCAACCTCCTCACAATCTACATCTTTACCGGCCCCCCTTTAAATCTTCTCACCCAACACCTCTCCCTACCTCTTCCGGACACCACCACCCTCCTTCATGAGCTCAACATAACTCGGAAAGAACTCACCACCAGTCGGTCCCGAGTTTCCGACTTGCTCAGGCAACTCACATCCACCAACCAACTTGTTGAAGCACTTCTCATTGAGCTTACTCGCCTACGTGAACCTGAAGCAGATACAGATCCCACTTCCTCTAGTGAAGTGAAACTTGCCATCGGGCTTCACAAGCTCCCACTCGGGTACTCCCCCAGGATGGGATCTGATGAGGTCTATCCTCCGTTTGGAGGAGGTTGTTTGAAGTTCAAAGACGAGTTAGCGCAATACATGACATATGACATTGGAAAAGACTGTCCGATGGATGATGTTTTCGCGCAAAAACTCATGCTCAAGGGGTGTGAGCCACTCCCCATACGGCGTTGCCACCCCAAGTCGCCTGCCGGTTATGTGGAGCCAACTCCGCTACCCGACAGCCTCTGGGCAATGCCACCTGATAGAAGCATAATTTGGGACCCCTACACATGTAAAAGCTACAAGTGCCTTATTAACCGGAAAAATCTTCCAGCGTTCTATGATTGTAATGATTACTTCGACTTACAGGGGAAAGAGAAGACGCGGTGGCTCCATGACAATGGAGGGCTTAATTTTGGGATCGATAAAATTCTAGAGACAAAACCACGAGGAACCATTCGTATAGGACTTGACATTGGAGGAGGAGCGGGCACATTCGCGGCCAGGATGAAAGAGAGGAATACAACCATTATCACCACCTCTATGAACTTGGATGGTCCCTTCAACAGTTTCATTGCATCAAGGGGACTAATACCAATGCATTTAAGTGCCTCCCAGAGACTTCCCTTCTTTGAGAACACACTGGACATAGTGCATTCTATGCATGTGCTTAGCAATTGGATACCAGAAGCCACGCTCGAGTTCACTCTCTATGATATATACAGAGTGTTGAGGCCGGGTGGGCTCTTCTGGCTCGACCATTTCTTCTGCCTCGGATCTCAGCTGACACAACCTACGTTCCAATGTTGGATCGTGTCGGATTCAAGAAACTGAGATGGAATGTTGGCATGAAGCGCAACCGGGGAATCGATAGAAACGAGTGGTACTTCTCAGCCCTGTTGGAGAAACCGATGACCTGAGGTGCAATTGAGTTTGTCGCGAACACACAAGAATTTTGTGTAATGAAGTTCCAAGATTTCACAGACTAGTTTGCTAATCTTTCTTCATAGTAATGCGTATTGTTACAACTTCGATAAGCATATGAAACTCTTGTAAACTAGTTTGCAAAAACCGAAACAATCAACCGCAATAAAATTTTGATCATTGGCTAGAAGGAATAGAGATTACTTGCATAAATGGAGCTTCTACAAAAATAGATAGTTTTTGCCTTATGTTTTCTGCTTCATCTCCTCTCACGGCCTTTCAGATTTAAACTGCAGTGTTTTTCTAGTATATTAACAAGCTGGCTGCAACCCCTCACCACCCCCAGAAAACTAGACAGAATTTGAATAAATACAGTTCTGGTTCTTTAGCATGTTGAAATACCATAAGGCCAGAACAAATTAAATGTTCCAGTTAGTGAAAACCAATAAACTGTATACACATCCTCATCTTGGAGGTAAAACAATGATCTTTACTTGGGCTCTAACTTTGAGGGTGGATAGATTCCACTATAATCAAAGAGGCTTTCATTGCTGTAAGGATGGTCGAACCCCTTACCTCCCTCGTCATAGCTTGCTGAAGTTGATGCAGATTCAGCATTGGGGTTCAGTCCAGCCAATTCCATGATGTTCTCAATCTCTTTCACCACCTCTCTCATTGCTGGCCTGAGAAATCCTGTTTCTTCGAGACACCTCAATGCCAGATCCACATACTTCTCTAAACTTTTTGGTGCAGTACTGTTCAAACCGATGGCTGGGTCAAGAATTCCATGAAGGTTATATAGTTCTTTGGTCCTATCCATTGCTTGCTTCACCTCTCTTACAATGTATTTCCCTTTCTCAATGGGACTTCTTGCAGTTATCATCTCCAGCATTACCACTCCAAAGCTATAAACATCACTCTTCTCAGTCAAATGTTGAGTCATGTAATATTCAGGATCCATGTAGCCCTGCAATAAACTTCCAATTTTCAATCCAAAAAACTAAAGAAAAGTCGCAGAATCTTCAATGAACTCAAAACTTTTTATCTTTAGTGATTCCATAAATTTTACTGCATTAAATATTCTTTTTAGCTAAGAAATGGTGGGTTCTTCTTGATGAATCAGACATTCTGAAAAACGCCTGCATATTTTCCTATGATATATGCTGGAGTAATGTTATGGGAAATTGTGAGAACATATTGTGTTACCCTTTCTCTTTCAGTGAAACCATTTTAATTTCCACAGTTAAAGGAATATCTTTGTGCATTCCATGGTGTAAACCCTCGATTTCAGCAAAATATCATGCTTTCAAAACTTACTTACCATTGTCCCCTTGACTTGAGTGGTGACATGACCCTTTTCAGAGTCATCCATAGGTTTGGAAAGACCGAAATCAGCAACTTTTGCGGTCAAGCGTTCATCCAGTAAAATATTGTTTGTTTTGATGTCCCTATGTATGATGGGAGGATTAGCATGATCATGCAAATACTGAATACCCCTGGCTGCTCCAAGGGTTATTCTAAGTCTCCTCATCCAGTCCAATCTGATTCCTGACTTCCCTACGCAGGTAATTCATAAATTATCAGCGTTCAATGGCATACATTCTATTCCCCCAGNCGGACACCACCACCCTCCTTCATGAGCTCAACATAACTCGGAAAGAACTCACCACCAGTCGGTCCCGAGTTTCCGACTTGCTCAGGCAACTCACATCCACCAACCAACTTGTTGAAGCACTTCTCATTGAGCTTACTCGCCTACGTGAACCTGAAGCAGATACAGATCCCACTTCCTCTAGTGAAGTGAAACTTGCCATCGGGCTTCACAAGCTCCCACTCGGGTACTCCCCCAGGATGGGATCTGATGAGGTCTATCCTCCGTTTGGAGGAGGTTGTTTGAAGTTCAAAGACGAGTTAGCGCAATACATGACATATGACATTGGAAAAGACTGTCCGATGGATGATGTTTTCGCGCAAAAACTCATGCTCAAGGGGTGTGAGCCACTCCCCATACGGCGTTGCCACCCCAAGTCGCCTGCCGGTTATGTGGAGCCAACTCCGCTACCCGACAGCCTCTGGGCAATGCCACCTGATAGAAGCATAATTTGGGACCCCTACACATGTAAAAGCTACAAGTGCCTTATTAACCGGAAAAATCTTCCAGCGTTCTATGATTGTAATGATTACTTCGACTTACAGGGGAAAGAGAAGACGCGGTGGCTCCATGACAATGGAGGGCTTAATTTTGGGATCGATAAAATTCTAGAGACAAAACCACGAGGAACCATTCGTATAGGACTTGACATTGGAGGAGGAGCGGGCACATTCGCGGCCAGGATGAAAGAGAGGAATACAACCATTATCACCACCTCTATGAACTTGGATGGTCCCTTCAACAGTTTCATTGCATCAAGGGGACTAATACCAATGCATTTAAGTGCCTCCCAGAGACTTCCCTTCTTTGAGAACACACTGGACATAGTGCATTCTATGCATGTGCTTAGCAATTGGATACCAGAAGCCACGCTCGAGTTCACTCTCTATGATATATACAGAGTGTTGAGGCCGGGTGGGCTCTTCTGGCTCGACCATTTCTTCTGCCTCGGATCTCAGCTGACACAACCTACGTTCCAATGTTGGATCGTGTCGGATTCAAGAAACTGAGATGGAATGTTGGCATGAAGCGCAACCGGGGAATCGATAGAAACGAGTGGTACTTCTCAGCCCTGTTGGAGAAACCGATGACCTGAGGTGCAATTGAGTTTGTCGCGAACACACAAGAATTTTGTGTAATGAAGTTCCAAGATTTCACAGACTAGTTTGCTAATCTTTCTTCATAGTAATGCGTATTGTTACAACTTCGATAAGCATATGAAACTCTTGTAAACTAGTTTGCAAAAACCGAAACAATCAACCGCAATAAAATTTTGATCATTGGCTAGAAGGAATAGAGATTACTTGCATAAATGGAGCTTCTACAAAAATAGATAGTTTTTGCCTTATGTTTTCTGCTTCATCTCCTCTCACGGCCTTTCAGATTTAAACTGCAGTGTTTTTCTAGTATATTAACAAGCTGGCTGCAACCCCTCACCACCCCCAGAAAACTAGACAGAATTTGAATAAATACAGTTCTGGTTCTTTAGCATGTTGAAATACCATAAGGCCAGAACAAATTAAATGTTCCAGTTAGTGAAAACCAATAAACTGTATACACATCCTCATCTTGGAGGTAAAACAATGATCTTTACTTGGGCTCTAACTTTGAGGGTGGATAGATTCCACTATAATCAAAGAGGCTTTCATTGCTGTAAGGATGGTCGAACCCCTTACCTCCCTCGTCATAGCTTGCTGAAGTTGATGCAGATTCAGCATTGGGGTTCAGTCCAGCCAATTCCATGATGTTCTCAATCTCTTTCACCACCTCTCTCATTGCTGGCCTGAGAAATCCTGTTTCTTCGAGACACCTCAATGCCAGATCCACATACTTCTCTAAACTTTTTGGTGCAGTACTGTTCAAACCGATGGCTGGGTCAAGAATTCCATGAAGGTTATATAGTTCTTTGGTCCTATCCATTGCTTGCTTCACCTCTCTTACAATGTATTTCCCTTTCTCAATGGGACTTCTTGCAGTTATCATCTCCAGCATTACCACTCCAAAGCTATAAACATCACTCTTCTCAGTCAAATGTTGAGTCATGTAATATTCAGGATCCATGTAGCCCTGCAATAAACTTCCAATTTTCAATCCAAAAAACTAAAGAAAAGTCGCAGAATCTTCAATGAACTCAAAACTTTTTATCTTTAGTGATTCCATAAATTTTACTGCATTAAATATTCTTTTTAGCTAAGAAATGGTGGGTTCTTCTTGATGAATCAGACATTCTGAAAAACGCCTGCATATTTTCCTATGATATATGCTGGAGTAATGTTATGGGAAATTGTGAGAACATATTGTGTTACCCTTTCTCTTTCAGTGAAACCATTTTAATTTCCACAGTTAAAGGAATATCTTTGTGCATTCCATGGTGTAAACCCTCGATTTCAGCAAAATATCATGCTTTCAAAACTTACTTACCATTGTCCCCTTGACTTGAGTGGTGACATGACCCTTTTCAGAGTCATCCATAGGTTTGGAAAGACCGAAATCAGCAACTTTTGCGGTCAAGCGTTCATCCAGTAAAATATTGTTTGTTTTGATGTCCCTATGTATGATGGGAGGATTAGCATGATCATGCAAATACTGAATACCCCTGGCTGCTCCAAGGGTTATTCTAAGTCTCCTCATCCAGTCCAATCTGATTCCTGACTTCCCTACGCAGGTAATTCATAAATTATCAGCGTTCAATGGCATACATTCTATTCCCCCAGTCAGAACAGTCTGGCAGTGTAGCTAATCACACTGGGGTTACAAAGAACAAAGATCAGGACGATCTAGCAGCAATTTTGCAAGAATATCTTCAAGAATTTTCTTATTCCATAAAAACCAATAATGGTGCAAGACATATCTGGTGCATTTCTAGGTGAGGCTACAGGAACATAGTAATCCTATTCTGGAAGAATGACGAACTTGGATTCAACTTTTTTCGATAAGAAATAGCAACTGTATTAATGAGGTAAAAAATAGTTTCAAAAAAACAATCAAAGGTGGCAAGTCGTCCAGACCAATGATAGGTCAAAAGGAGAAACATACAAGCACAACTATGGATATTAAAACCATACTACATACCACACAAAGATATCCAACTTGAGAAAATGCAAAAAGGAGGGACATTCTCAAACTCTCGGATTTCAACTTTTTAATGATCTAAGTTACTGATGCAGAACATTACTAGCTGAAATCTTTAGAAATGCCATTCAATTATTTCAATTTTTGGTAAGCCGTGACCATGAGTTATCAAGTATGCAAATCAAAGCATAAATAGCATTAGTATTCATATGAAGTGAAGGTTAGGAAATCATCAGAAGCACCTGAAAGACTTTCCTTCAGTGTACCATTTGGAATATACTCGTAGACCAGCATCTGTTCAACTTGCTCGAAACAGAAGCCCACTAGGCTGACAACATTCTTGTGATGAACCCTTGAAAGAAGCTCAATCTCAGTTTTAAACTCAAGACCACCCTGCATAGATCCGTGTTGAGCTCTTTTGATGGCAACCAGTTGTCCGCTGGGAAGAGTTCCTTTATATACCTAAAAACATAATAAAAATTTTTAAATCTGAGAATCATACAGCGGCAAAATTTTAGGAGAAATATATTGAGAAGGTTGAGACTTGAGAAAATCTTGATGAACAAATCCTTAAATGAGAAGAGTTATTTTCAAATAGAAGTTAGTGAGGTTTTTTGTTTCATTTATTTATTTTTGGGGGGAGGGGGGCAGCAGCACTTACAGTTACCAACAAAGACATTTTTAATTCTAGAATTTTCTGTATGACTTGGTCAGTACATGAAAATGATAAAAATTATTAGATTCATGAGTGCTAGGCCTGAATGGTTCATAAAACTTTGAAAGCTGGCTCACCTACTCATGAGTGACCAAATATGTCTGTTTATCTTTTTTCTTCCAAAAAACCAGAGAATTTTGTCATAGTTCTAAATGCATGTAAAAATATGATATCATCTAGATCCAAATGCATTTGCCTCTGCAGATTACAGAAGTGAAGGCATACACCAGGGTGGCAGGAAGGTAACGACCACCGAGAATAGATGCAGATGCAACTTATATATCAAATAACAAGATAATATCAAAGCTGACCTTTCCATAGCCACCAGATCCAAGATCATTGGTTTCTGAGAAGTTGTTTGTGCATCTCTTGAGCTCCTCAAATGAGAAAAATCTTGCTCCTTTTAACTGAGGAACGCCTCCGTTGCTTTTGTCTGGGTTCCAAGATGCTTGATAGGTACAATACTGATATTGGTGAAAACCCCTATAGGAGACATAATTGCTAAAATTGCTTTGTTGAGATTAAGTCCAGAACTAACCAAAAGGATTATTCTGTTTATCGGCTCTTTCAGCTCTTCTCTTTTGACGGAAAGCATAAACTCCTGCGAGGAGTACTAATATCACAAGAACAGAGCCACCAACAGCTGCTCCGATGATGACGCCAGTACTTGTTGATTTATGTGTTCCTGGAGATATACCTGGAGGCGAGAGAGAGAGATGCTTCAGAAAACAATAGAACGGCCTTCACAAGAATTCTCTAGTGCTCACATGAAATACACAATCACCTGCAAAGTTTCCATAGTCATCACCAATGAAGAAAAAGGGTCCAAATCCGCTGGGAGGCTTGAAAGTTTGGTTGCTTAACATAAACGCTATTCCAGAAATTCCACTTCGGTTGAAACTGTTTAGGCCAGATGGGAAAATNCATTTATTTATTTTTGGGGGGAGGGGGGCAGCAGCACTTACAGTTACCAACAAAGACATTTTTAATTCTAGAATTTTCTGTATGACTTGGTCAGTACATGAAAATGATAAAAATTATTAGATTCATGAGTGCTAGGCCTGAATGGTTCATAAAACTTTGAAAGCTGGCTCACCTACTCATGAGTGACCAAATATGTCTGTTTATCTTTTTTCTTCCAAAAAACCAGAGAATTTTGTCATAGTTCTAAATGCATGTAAAAATATGATATCATCTAGATCCAAATGCATTTGCCTCTGCAGATTACAGAAGTGAAGGCATACACCAGGGTGGCAGGAAGGTAACGACCACCGAGAATAGATGCAGATGCAACTTATATATCAAATAACAAGATAATATCAAAGCTGACCTTTCCATAGCCACCAGATCCAAGATCATTGGTTTCTGAGAAGTTGTTTGTGCATCTCTTGAGCTCCTCAAATGAGAAAAATCTTGCTCCTTTTAACTGAGGAACGCCTCCGTTGCTTTTGTCTGGGTTCCAAGATGCTTGATAGGTACAATACTGATATTGGTGAAAACCCCTATAGGAGACATAATTGCTAAAATTGCTTTGTTGAGATTAAGTCCAGAACTAACCAAAAGGATTATTCTGTTTATCGGCTCTTTCAGCTCTTCTCTTTTGACGGAAAGCATAAACTCCTGCGAGGAGTACTAATATCACAAGAACAGAGCCACCAACAGCTGCTCCGATGATGACGCCAGTACTTGTTGATTTATGTGTTCCTGGAGATATACCTGGAGGCGAGAGAGAGAGATGCTTCAGAAAACAATAGAACGGCCTTCACAAGAATTCTCTAGTGCTCACATGAAATACACAATCACCTGCAAAGTTTCCATAGTCATCACCAATGAAGAAAAAGGGTCCAAATCCGCTGGGAGGCTTGAAAGTTTGGTTGCTTAACATAAACGCTATTCCAGAAATTCCACTTCGGTTGAAACTGTTTAGGCCAGATGGGAAAATTCCCACGTCCAGTACAAGGTAATCATCTAAATTTTTGGTTGGATTACTCAGAGAAACAGAATCCACAGGGAGTTGATGAGACTGAGCCATCATAGAATTTTGAAGGGATGTATAAATACTCAAATTTCCCAGGTCAGAGAAGGAAGGAGCTCTGAAAGTTAGGGTGCCTGTGTATGGATATGCACATTTACAGTTGGGGCTGGATAACTGATTTGAACCACATGTAGTAGGGAAGCAATTATTTGGAGGAGTTGAATATGAGGAATTGGAGGGCTGGGGAATGACACAGTAGTTTTCTGTCTGTCCTGTTTCCTGACAAATTGGGTTACCTACAAGTCTGCAGGATATTGAAAAATACTTTACACCAATCGGGTAAAATGATACATGACCTAAATTTTAAAGATAAAGTATAATGGCCCTCAAATCATGATGGATATAAAATGGTCAGAAGAATAAAAGGACGCAGCTTACATCAACTCCTTATTGTATCCCACTCTCTGTGCATAAGCAGAAATATAATTGTTCTGCAAATCAACGAGCTGCAGTTGATTGCTGTAGCTGGGGCCAATATCCAAAGTGCTATTGAGCTGGTTGTTCTTCAGNTAGGAGACATAATTGCTAAAATTGCTTTGTTGAGATTAAGTCCAGAACTAACCAAAAGGATTATTCTGTTTATCGGCTCTTTCAGCTCTTCTCTTTTGACGGAAAGCATAAACTCCTGCGAGGAGTACTAATATCACAAGAACAGAGCCACCAACAGCTGCTCCGATGATGACGCCAGTACTTGTTGATTTATGTGTTCCTGGAGATATACCTGGAGGCGAGAGAGAGAGATGCTTCAGAAAACAATAGAACGGCCTTCACAAGAATTCTCTAGTGCTCACATGAAATACACAATCACCTGCAAAGTTTCCATAGTCATCACCAATGAAGAAAAAGGGTCCAAATCCGCTGGGAGGCTTGAAAGTTTGGTTGCTTAACATAAACGCTATTCCAGAAATTCCACTTCGGTTGAAACTGTTTAGGCCAGATGGGAAAATTCCCACGTCCAGTACAAGGTAATCATCTAAATTTTTGGTTGGATTACTCAGAGAAACAGAATCCACAGGGAGTTGATGAGACTGAGCCATCATAGAATTTTGAAGGGATGTATAAATACTCAAATTTCCCAGGTCAGAGAAGGAAGGAGCTCTGAAAGTTAGGGTGCCTGTGTATGGATATGCACATTTACAGTTGGGGCTGGATAACTGATTTGAACCACATGTAGTAGGGAAGCAATTATTTGGAGGAGTTGAATATGAGGAATTGGAGGGCTGGGGAATGACACAGTAGTTTTCTGTCTGTCCTGTTTCCTGACAAATTGGGTTACCTACAAGTCTGCAGGATATTGAAAAATACTTTACACCAATCGGGTAAAATGATACATGACCTAAATTTTAAAGATAAAGTATAATGGCCCTCAAATCATGATGGATATAAAATGGTCAGAAGAATAAAAGGACGCAGCTTACATCAACTCCTTATTGTATCCCACTCTCTGTGCATAAGCAGAAATATAATTGTTCTGCAAATCAACGAGCTGCAGTTGATTGCTGTAGCTGGGGCCAATATCCAAAGTGCTATTGAGCTGGTTGTTCTTCAGTATGCTGTCATGTCAAAACAAATGTACTTATAGTCATCAGTTCCATCGTTTGGGATGCATGACCAGAATCACTTGAATTGAGATCTAAAGAAGATTATATGATTGGTATCTTTCGAATCCCGAGATTTAGTACATAAATACAGTATCACCTGAGATTGAGAAAATACTCACACAGTCTGCAAGAGAGGGAGGCTGAAGAGGCCAACTGGAACTTGTCCTTCAAGTTGTACGCGTTCCATAACTCTGCCGGTTCGAGGTTAGTGAACTTATTTGGTGAATGCTTTGGATCTTCCAAATGAATGCATAACATACACAAACACAAATATACACAGAGAGAAATATATATATATATATACTGGTTAATGTCATGTGGTTGAAGGCCCTGTGTAACATCAAAATCGCTAATTAAAAAAAATTCAATTTGGTTAAATTGTTAAGTTCTACAGCAAACACCTTAACAGTGAATAAAAATAATAGAAATGAACCATTTTCCTCAAAAAAAAAAAAACAATGGACATGAACCAAGATTATTCCACATTGTATTTGTAAAATTTGTGAAATTGTAAATAATTTATTTGACATGATATTTGACACTTTTCGACAATATAAATTTGACGTGAATTATTTAGTAAGTTGTCTTCCTTTTTTGTGATAACGGATTGAGAGGGTTTGGTTAAATTGGTTGGTTTCTTTTCAAAATATGTAATGTCAGTTTTTACATATGACTATATCTCAGTATTGCATTTCTATAAAATTTCATTTGATTTTTTATCAAAAAAATTTAGCCAAAATCGAATTAAATGGGATTGATGTCATTTTTATGGGTACAATCTTCAATTGTAATCTTGTTGATAATCTCTGTTAATTGTTAATTAGTATAAATAATTTTTTGAGATTTATTAATTTACTTGATTACTTGTCACAACAACGAAGAATATAGGGGAAAGTGGTGGTTGTTAGGTTGGTTCAGCCGAATGCCTGTGGGGAATCTTCATCAAATACCCATAATACCCCATAAAGAACGTCCTAGTTACAGTCTTAAATTATTGAGAATTTACATGTTAGATATCGTGAGGGTGATTTTTGTAAAATGGGGCAGACGGTAAAGTTGCAAGAAAGCGTAAAGGTGCAAGAAAAACGCAAATAACAGAGTAACGGAAAAAAAGTAAAATTTCATCCAATAAAGTTCCACAGTGATTTTGGGAACTGTTATTCTATTGTTAGTGAAGCTACCAAGCTCACGCCTTGCTCTTGGATGAACAAAATGAAAGTGATGAGTTCTGTCAAATCGAGTTTCTTGCTTTCTTTTTGGAGGTGTATAAATTTTTCTTAAATAAGGTTAACACACACAAAACAGGTCTACGTTGCTTTATTATGAAAACAGGAATTTGATAGTGCAATTCCTATGACATGTGTGCACCAAGCAATGTTTCCCCGTTTGCTATTGATCTGCTTCCATTGTGTTCTTTTATCTAAACAACAAATCAAATTGCAAATAACACACAAACGTGTGCACAACACATCCATATAGAACCATAGGGGAGGCAAAAACTAAGGTATAGTATGCTAACAGATCAATAAGAAGTTGTCAATAATTCGCATAGTTGAGATCATTACGTTTACATGGATGAGTGGTAGACTATGAAGCACATATATTGCAACAACACTGGAACTAGAAAGCACAGGCACTCTATTTTAGTTAGAGTGTCGGTGTCGGTCATATCTAGGATACAGACACTCTAACACACTTATTGAACACACTAAAGTAAGTTTCCATTTTTTTCATTTTAAAACTTTTTTAGGACATGCAGAGGACACTCCACTGATACGCTCAGGACACATTACGAACAACGGCCAATACGCTCTGTATACGTTGGAAAATACATTTTAAGAATTTTTTCAAAATTTTAAAAACTTGTCAAGTAACTTTATAATTAAGGAAGTTGTTTTTGTCATTCTAAAGAGATATGGGTCAAAGGCATAATATAAACAAAGTTATAATTACTATATGAATATAGGGCATAAATATAACATAATTTCGGACCCAAACGAAATTATATACAATTGGAAAAAACTTTATAAATGAAAGAATGTGATGAAAAATGGAGTTATGAATTGGGCTCTTTGAAATTTATGAAAATTAGAATTACGAAGTGGGATATCTTTTAAAATGGAAATTGTAATAGTCATTAATAGTTAAATCATAGATGTTTATGATGAATATGTATCAATATATGTAATATTGTATTTTTTATTCGGTATCACGATGTGAATTCTTAGAATTAAGGATATGATGAATCGAAGGATTATTACCAATATATATTTATTTTATTACATGATGACTTTTACAAAAAAGTAGAACAAAAAGGTCGGATTAAAAGTGTGGATACAAGTGGGTGGTGAGGGGGTAAGTGTGTCATATTATATATATAAATAAATACATTATATTTACCGCATCTCCTAACGCATTCGTGTCTTATTTTTTAAAAAAATTTCGTATCAGCGTGCCCATGTTGTGTTACATTCGTGTCCAATGTTTGTGTTTGTGTTTGTGTTCGTGTCCGTACTTCTTAGACCTGAAATATAAATGTTTGATAAATATCAAATACAGATACGAATATGACCAAATAGGCCTTGGATACATTAAGATATTTTTTATTTTTGACATAATTGGGATATGCCGATAATACGTGTCTGATACATTTAGGATACGGCAAGGATGCACGATCTACACATTTAGGATACGTTAAGGATACATTGGAGCTAACTTATCATATTTTTTCATACTATTCAAGCAAAATAAATATTTTTTAAAACAAACAATATGGGAGTTCAGGGTGTGTGTGTGTGTGTGTGTGTGACAGAGAGAGAGAGAGAGACATACAGTGTTGTCAAAGACTGTAGGGTCAAAACCCATGATGGAACAGCAGACGCAGTAAAACTATTGTTGCTCAGATCCCTGCAAGTGACTACAACCTTTCAGCTAAAGTATGGCAATGGGAAACACTATATAGTATACATCATAAAACCATCATGACACAAGATTTTAGCACATTTGTTTTGGACCAAACAAGATTTTAGCACATTGTTCTGCTACTTACATGTAGTTGAGGGAATTCAGGCCAGTTAAATTGGGCAAGGCACCAGTCAGTTTGTTGTTTGACAAGTACCTGGAAGCAGATAGTGAAAAGTCTTTTTAGTGAGATGGTTCTTGCAATGCAGGATGATGCTGACTTCCTGGAAACTTAAGTTGTTTATTCCATTTTTTCGACTTACAGCTCTTTGAGAAGACTAAGGCTGTTGAGGTTTCGTGGGACAGTTCCACTTAATGCATTCCTGTCAAGACGTCTGTGGCCAGCATAGTCATTAGTTCAAAAACTTCAACAGGAATTCACAGCCAGAGAGTAAGTTAGTAGGATTTAGTAGAGAGTATGAGACAGAGATACTCACAACACCTCCAAAGTCTGTACAAGTCCTATTGTGGAAGGGATGTTGCCAATGAGATTGTTGCTTTCAAAAAGCCTGATCAAATTAATCATACATCCAAATACAGAAATCAATCTCTAGAGGAAATGTTTGTTGATTAAGGTGTCCGTACAATTAAAGGAAACAATTCTCACTGAATACCACATTGGCACAATTGTTTTCTAACCTGTTTTTAGAGGAGAGGACCAATTAACAAGTTAAGATATATAAACAAACCACTGCAGATTGTTCCCGTGAATGAAAAATAAAGATGTGTCCAAACAGAATAATCACTAAATAGTTGGAAAGCATAGTTGAGTGTAAGGGTAAGTTCGTCCCCACCTTCATCTCCGTACGGGTTTATACGGGTATCCCCGTATACATCCACCGTCTAATACGTATAGTCCATCCCTGGTCCAAACGGGACGGATTTGGACGAATACCCGCTTTTCCCCGGTCCACTGCCATCCCTAGTGCACACCCACATCCTATTCGGCATAGGATTTTCCCCTCCAAGAAGAAGCTTTATGCATCTCCTTTTTTTTTCTTTTTTTCTTTTTTTCTTTTTTTTTCTTTTTTGGCAAAAATAGTTGAGCAAACAATGTTTAGCAAAAAACATAGGTGAACACGTATATTGACACATAATATTGGCACTAATCTATCCCAAGTAATTTATAGATCTTATTGAGATATTCAATTTCTATAGCCAGTTCCATGGAACTTACACATGAATGAGAGTCATATTTGAGTTGAAAAGCCGTGGAGGGATTTCACCGGAAAGATGATTCTGTCCAAAATGACTACAAATAATAGACAGAATTTAAGGTTAATATCTATTTCTGAAGGAAATAATGGTTAATGAGAGAATAAGTCGTAAAAGGATAAGGGAAACGATATAATACATACAAATGCTTTGTATGGACCAGCATATCAAGACCAGGTGTGTTTCCATCAGATACTGGGATAGTGCCACTGAGCTTGTTGTCAGCTATATCCAACCAATAAAGATTTATTAGACTACCAATGGAAGGAGGTATTCCTCCAATGAAGTTGTTGGAATTCAGAGACCTGTAGAATACAGAATAAGATCATTGGAAATTTGTGTCTAGACAAAGAATTACACTAAAAACCTTAAGTCAAGATAAAATATCACCTTCAGGCACAATCAAGCGAGACTTTTTCAAATTGAAACAATGCAAACTTCTAAACACATGAATTAGAATAATTGAGCTACTGAGGAGAGATTTGACGGACAACAGTCCACAAAACAAATGAATTAGGTATTTGCTAACTTGAACTTATATCAAATCTTCCCAGGTTCTGTGATTCCGTTCATATAGACTCACGTCACCATGGAACACGAGTCTTAAACCATATGAGGGGTGCAGAATCTCTGTTCTAGAACAACGCCTAACACCAAGAAGAGAAGATTCCGCAGCCATGGCTTGTATGCAATATTAAATTCAACAAAAGGTTTCAAATCAAATGCACACAAAACTTAGACTTCAAAACAATGTTGCATATGCAGAAGTTACCAAAGTCGAATTTCTTACAAAGAAAGCAGCTGTTGTAGAGATCCTATCGTGTCTGGTATCAGACCAGAAAAACCACAACCAACCACGATTCTGTCATGCAAGCAGCAGAAAATGGTTTATAACAGGATTTGTATTAAACATGTTCATTATATGCAAACAGTCTAAATTTCCTTACAATCTTGCTAACTTCTTCAATTTTCCAATCGATGAAGGAAGAGATCCAGTTAATCCTTTATTGTATGAAAGATCCCTATATACAGAAGCGGATCATCAGAAATAATTTTTGACACCTTTTAACAAAAAAATGGAAAAACACGGGCCGCATATTAACTTTAGTTGGACTCATCATAACTGCTCTCCTTAATATTTGATGGGTAGAGCCTAGGAGGTTTCTCTTGAGGAATCATTACTGAAAAGAATGCTAGTCAATTTGGTAAAACATGGATCTGGATAACACTATCCCAGACATACAGCCTGATAAAACACTGGCCTCATTCAAGTAACTTTTTTGGTTGTCGTAATATGACCAACAAATTGCTTTTACAATGGATTATTTAGTTCTCTCAGCCCGGAACCGACCGGTCTCATCAGTGCTTGATACATTCCGCTACGACTGCTGAAATGTTGCATTCCAGTAGAATAATGGGATTTGAAAAACTGAAATGCACAATATTCTAGAAACTACAATGGTATTGAGTATTGTATGATGTTTCACAGGGTAAATGGTATCGTGGATTCATGTATGGGAGAAGAGATAAGTGCAAACAGAAGACCTACAGAATCTGTAATTCAGCCAACTCCTGGATGTCTCCAGACAGCTGACCAGTCAAATTCATGCTTGCCAATGTTCTGAAATTGGAAGTGATCAGACTAGCCTTAAAGAAAACATGAATTGCATTTTAAGTAACCTTCAATAATCGTGAAAAAAGGTGAAATGCATAAGGGAATTACATAGAAGTCACACGGGAATTGTTGCACCTAATTCCATCCCAACCAGCACCACATGGATCTGGCCCAACCCAATTGGGTGGTGTGTTTTGCCATATAGCCTGAAGAGACTGTAGAGCAACATCTGCATCATAAAGAGAATTTATTTCAGGTAAAATCGATTCCCTCGTTTCACTGCCAATTGAATTCTCCTATAAGTAAAGAAAATGACTTCTTGCATTGGAAAACAAGTGATACAGGGAACTAGCAGATTGTTTTATGAATGAATATTATAGCAAATATGAAATCATCTAGTCCAAAGAGCACAGATAGGCAATCTTCACTGTGGAGTTGTTTCCAACCAAATTAGATTATGATGTACAGAAGTGCATTATTAAACTTTGGTTTCAGGAAAAATTTTGGAGATGTTAAAAACGTATTCAAACATAATCATGTTTCTTCCAGTGTGTGAAAACAGAAAAATGAAATCCAGAACCTCTGCTAAACTGCTTCAAAACTGGGTTAATTAAGTTCAGTTTTGCAACCCAGAAATGATTCATAATTTTATGTTCTTTTTTCCCTTCATTTTCTCTGCCCCCAAACACAGAGCAAATTAAATATCAGAGGGAAGAAGAATAAAGATTGCCAAGTATGTACTTTCGTAATATGTTCAAAGGGCATCAACCTTCGAAGTAGGAACTGTGTTCTTTCTGGCAATGATCATAAAAGAAAAAAAAAGTAGCATCTACTGTAGACAAAAACACAGATCAAAGGAATTGAACTTACAATCCTGGTTATTTGTCTGAGCTGCTATAATCAGTACTGGGATGGAAATAACCAGAGAGCACACCCAAATTCTTGGACCCATTGTCAAGAAACAACCATATAGGTTCTCAAAGTAGCACAAATTCTGATCAAAAGCTATGAAACTCAAAACCTCAGCTCTTCATTAACTTAATCTCCACGGGAAAGATATTTTCAAAATGACACCACCCTCCTGCCATTGACTTCTAGTCAGACAAAAAAACAAAAACTAATTTGCCGCCAACTCATGCCCAAATTTCCAACCAAAAAAATCTGGCCACAAACTCTTCATCAAACTATCCTTTTTTTTTGGGGTAGTCCATGCATATTTTTTTGTGTTCCCGTCAATCACAATATAATAACTTCACACCAACATCTAACTTCCCTAATTTAGAAAAAATCTATTACAAAGAACGATTATACTATCGAAAGAGAAAATTATAATTTTTTGAGAGGGTAAATTATAATTGATTGATATGTCACACCCACAAATCCTTCCTCAAACTATGGATATGGAGTAATTCAAATAATAACAGTGACAAATTATAAATTCGGATGTCCTGATTTTAAAATTTTACAATCTCTCTGTCCCTAGTCTTGAGGTGAATGTTAAGATGCGTGTAAAATTGACCTGAACATCATTACCATTGAATAAAAAAAACTGTTGACACATATTTTTTTGTGTTCATATCAATTGAAATATAATGACTTCTCTCACCAACTTGTAATTTTCCATCATTTAGAAAAGCTAATGGCTAATATATTCCTCCTTTTGTGTCAGAGGAGGTAACCCAAGTCTTGATTGGGCTTTGATAGTTGGCATCTACTATTGGAGATAAGGACGATTCAAGGCGTAATTAGCAAAGTTAATATGAGAGAAAAATTGATTATGATTGGATTAAGCCCCTTTGTTCTAGAAGCGAAATTTTTTCTGCATTCATTTTTGATAATGATGGGATCTTGGGTATGGGCCGCCAAGGTCTAAAAGCCCAATAAGTCCAGGAAACCCTTGCTTGTATAATGACCCAAATGAAACGCCCACGGCTTGCCCACATCAAAAGTAGAGAGGGCCGAGTCCAAAGGGCAAAGTCCAATGGCACCAGAGGACTTGCAGTCCAACCTAGCCCCAATCCAATTCAGCCAAAGGACATCCCAGGATAAAGAAGCCCAGCCTAACGCAAATTCTAGAATACTCCCCGTCGCGCCACATGTCTTGAGAACAAAGGGACCACTTTTGACACCCATGACAATCCCGCACTCCCTGATGCAGAGGGTGTTGGTGTACATAACCATTCAGGGATCGTGAGCACAATGGCGCTGAATAACAGAGATTGCTGCAGGACAACAGCAAAAGGGCCCACAGAATCAGTAAAAAGGAAGAAGGAGCCACCGAAAATCCTTAAGGGGATCACTCGTATAAATAAAACATTATTACCCTACCATAGCAGAGGATCATCTTCTTCATTACACTCTCGAGCCCTCAACACGGTGGGTAGAGTGAGAAGCATTTATTCTTGTAAAGGCCCTGTGTTTGCAATATCATTGTACTAACTATTAAATCAAGTAATATACACCCCAAGGAGAAAGAGACTCCCTTACAGTAGACGTAGTCTTAGTGTCTCGACTAAGGTGAACCACTTACACATTGTTTTTTTCTGTTCCCCATAAATTTACCTTTGAACTAGCTTACCCACTAAAATCCCCAAAGTATCATCTGCTGGGCTTAGGCTATTATTTTCGAGCTTCATCAGTTGGCGCCATCTGTGGGAACGGTTTTCATCATTTTCCTTTAAGTTTTTAGTTTGATGGTTTCAACTCGGAACATGAGTAAATCTCACGCCAATCCCCAAGTTCACCAAAACTTACTGGAGAACTTTTCGGCCCCCGAAGTGGACGTCGAGAATCACCTCCCAGCGGTGGACCTCTCTTCGCTCAATGAATTGGAAGCCTATAGTCGAACCACGATGCAACTGATAAAGCAGAACCAAGAGTTGATAACATGGATACAGACACACCAGCTTCTGCAATGCTCACCAGCACATCAACTTCCCCCTCCACCTCCGGCACAACACAACGCCCCTCCTCAGGAATGCCAAGCTCCGCCTAATTGAGTCACGGAGCTTCATGAGCACAACCACTCTAGAGAAAATCACCGAAGGAGACACCTGGAGGAACACAACGAAGACGAGGCCCATAGTCGGGCCAGAACTGCCTATAGGGAAGACAGACCCCTTCCCCCGTCGAATGCCATGGATCACTTATTGGAGCAAAGACTCCGCGAGCTCCAACGAGAATTGGGTAACATGAAAGAAGTGGTTAAGGGGAAGACCCCTAACACCATGGACGCTCTAGTCCAGCAAATCGAGTCATCGTTCGCTCCCGAAATCCTTCACTTTCCTCTCCCCCAGAAATTTTGGATGCCATCAATAGAGGCATTCGACAGGACCAAAGATCCAATTGATCACTTGAACTCCTACAAAAATCAAATGGAACTCCAGGGGTATCCAGACCCAATCCGCTGCCGAGTTTTTGCCATCACCCTCAAAGGGTCGGCAATCGCTTGGTTTAACAGGTTACAACCATCATCGATCTCCTCCTTCAAGGAGCTATCTATACAATTTGTATCGTACTTCATCGGAGCAAGGACATACAAGAATCCATCCTACCACCTTTTGAGTGTCAAACAGGGGCCCAACGAGTCCTTCCAGAGATATGTACAACGCTTCAACCAAGAGTGCCTGAAGGTAGAAAGTGTGGACGACAAGTTCACACTTACCACCTTCATGTCGAAACTCGAAGTCCAACCTAAGGACCTCCTATTTTCAATCGCCAAAACCCCTTAGGCCACCATGGTTGAGGTACTCGCAAAAGTCAAGAAACACATCAATGCTGAGGAGGCCCTTCGACTAAAAAGAAGGTCAAGCTCTGCAGAAGGAGAAACGAAGAAGAGAGAAGTCACATGAAGGAGAGAAAACAAGATTGGTCCCCACAGCGGGATTGTTCCCCTTGAAAAGAGAGAGAGACCTCCTTAAAAAGGAGAGGCATCGTCAGAGATTGCCTTAGGCCCCCGCCTTAAGGGTTACAACCTAGACACGCCCCACTACGACTTCTGCCTATTGTCACCTCCATTGCTCAGGTCCTCCATAAAGTCTAGAACGAGAGGTTCATTCGATGGCCACCATGGATGAAGTCTGATCCCATGAGGTGAGACACTTCCAAGTATTCTGAGTTCCACAAGGACATAGGCCATGAAACGAACGACTGTATCCGGCTTAAAAAAGAGATTGAGTACTTGATTTAGAGGGGGCACCTGCGCTATTACGTGACAAGAGAGGGAAGAACACAAACCGATCAAGGTCAGGACGCTTGAGCAGTCGCTGCGCCTCCTCACAACACTAGGAGGCTCTTGGTGAAATCCGAGTAATCTCAGGAGGTTTTGCAGGAAGGGGTGAGTCCGGCTCAGCACGGAAGGCGTACACCAGGAGAGCCCAGTCAAAAGATTTCCTCGAAGTCCAGGCAATCTGAAAATCACCTTGTAAGGATGTGGAGATCACTTTTTTCAATGCGGATCTCGAAGGATGCCAGCACCCACATGACGACCCCTTGGTCGTTAAGGCAATCATTGCGGCTACAACTTTAGAATTGATCACCCAAGTGCAGGTTGTGTGAAGTAATAAATTTCTTGGGAATTCGAGGTCGAACCATAGGGAATTTAGAAAAACTTAGAACACAAAGAAAAATAAAAGAAAATTGTTTCAAAAAAAATTTGTTGTAGATATTTTGAAATTTGGTTTTAAAACAATAATTGAAAGTACTAAAGCATCGGTGATACCCTTTCAAATTCACACAGTAATTATTAATGATCTAGTTTTCGAACTCAATTGAAAATCAACTGAGGAGTGATCACAATTGAAATATTTAGCAATGATAATATGAAAACATCAAAATTTATAATTAATGAATTATCTGAATAAATATAAGAATTTACTTGTACCAATGGGCCTTTGGTCCAATGGTACTCCTTGCCTTGTAAAGACTTTGCCTTCTTGAGGTCAAAGGTTCAAGTCCCCCTACCCCTCCCCCTAAAAAAAAAAAAAAACTTGTAGATCACAAGCATTCACCGTGCTCGGAGTCTATGAAAATTCAAGCTTTCTAACAGGTAAATCTTATTTTATTGCAAATACTAAATCAACTATCTTATGAGACAATATAATTAATTAATTCAAGCATGACATAATCAGTTATTTGACTCGTAGGAAATCTCAAACATTCGATGTACCTGACACAACGAATCAAAAAATTATACAGAGCAAAAACTTTACTATAAGACAATAATTAAATTAAAAGAACAAATCATGCATTAAAAAGAACATTAAATCAATAACAAGTATCGTGCTTCATTGAAAATATCTCCCCTAGCTTTAGTTGAGCTTTTAGCAAGTCATAGAACTAAAACAAAAAACTAGAAAAGAAAAGAAAGAAAAAGAATAATAATCATCCTAATCCTCTAAATCCCCCTTTCTCAATAGGTGAGAGCTCTTTTTTATGCTATAATAAATTCTAGGTATAGGTACAAGATATAAGGTTGTATTAGGAAGAATTCTTTCCAAAAAAAAGTATTTTAAGGTTAAATCCCGTGCATAAAATTTTTGGNATTTATACTATAATAAATTCTAGGTATAGGTACAAGATATAAGGTTGTATTAGGAAGAATTCTTTCCAAAAAGAAGTATTTTAAGGTTAAATCCCGTGCATAAAATTTTTGGGGCGCGGGTACAAAATATGTTCAGATTTCGAGCTTGGATTGTGCATATTAAGAGGTTGATTCACGAAATTTTGTTGAAATGCACTATTGTAGCCTTTGAAGTTTGCTTTCCAACCCCACAAAAATCAAGTCTATCGAATATTGGAGTCAAAAGTTATAACCAAAATATTGAAAATGTGTCAATTCCTTATCTTCTAAGATGCTTTTCAAATCCAACTTTAAATGAGTTTTCTTTTAATTTGGACTCTTATAAGGATTAAATTAATGTCATATCTTCAAATCTTCATATCTCAATCTTG